AAATTCAATAAATTGAAATAAGGGGTTAAGGAGGTGTTGCCCTGTGGATACATAGAGGGTACCCTCAAATAAAGCAACGGCAAAAGTTCATGCTTTGGAAAGAAAAACCCCAAAAATGATACGGATCATAAACAAAATAAGAAGTGCACATAACCATTATATGGTTAAAATTGTGAGAAAGTTTCAATAAATTATAATTAATGGAACTGCGGATACAAAATGGGTACCCCAAATATGTTAGTGGTTTGTGAAACAGCTGTATTTTCAAAGGTCACAACATGAAAAGTTAATTGAAAGACGCAGCCATCCCAAAATAAGGCCCTTATCGCCACTTGTCCTTATGGTTTGACCCAGATTTCAAGAGTCAGTTTTCAAAGAAATGTCAGTTATAGCGTGTATGAAGTTAAATTTTTTATTTGAGTTACTTTGAGATCACATCAAAATGAAAATTGGTTCTCATGTTCATTATGAAAAGAACTGTTTAACAAATATGTAAAATTAACATAGATATATATATATGTAATAGTGCAAGCGGGGATTGGTGTCATATGGACACTTATTCTTGCACCGATTCTTGTTAATGCATCGATTTATTTATTTAACATTAATGTTTTAGCCGCAATTTGCTGACTTGTTCTGTAATAAAAACTAGAGGCTCTCAAGACCCTGTGTCGCTCACCTGATTCTACTTTAGTTTCGGAAATCATGTTAAAATAGATTAAAATCATAACAAATACCCTAATGATGAGTGAGGCCAAATTTGGTTTAATATTGGTCCTGTAATTTAATAAAAAATCCTGGTGGCCATCTTGAACAGTAAATCAGCAACAAAGTAGCAACATTTCATCAGCACCTCATAAGAAACATTTATGCCATGTTTGGTTTCATTCCATTCAGTGCACCTCTAGAAGAAGCATTTGTATACATGCATTTCCAATAGGGTCTTATGTTAAAGGAAGTCCCCCTGCTGGTGGCCATCGTGGATGAAGGATTAGCTTTAAAGTAACAACACTTAGTCAGTACCTCATAAGAAATATTCGAGCCATGTTTGGTTTCAATCCATTCAGTGGTTCTCTAAAAGAAGACATTTGTATGTATTGTCCATAAGGTCCTTTGTTAAACACTGTCCCCAGCTGGTGGCCATCTTGGTTGATGGATCAGCTTCAAAGTAACAACACTTGGTCAGCACTTCATAAGAAACATTCATGCCATGTTTGGTTTCATTCCATTCAGTGGTTCTCTAAAAGAAGACATTTGTATGTATTTCCAATAGGGTCCTATGTTAAACTAAGTTACCAGCTGGTGGCCATCTTGGATGATGGATGGGCTTCAAAGTAACAACACTTGGTCAGCACCTCAAAAGGAACATTCATGCCATGTTTGATTTCATTCCATTCAGTGGTTCTCTAAAAGAAGACATTTGTATGTATTTCCCATAGGGTCCTATGTTAAAACTAGTCCCCCGCTGACGGCCATCTTGGATGATGGATCGGCTTCAAAGTAACAACTCTTGGTCAGCACCTCATAACGAACATTCATGCCATGTTTGGTTTCATTCCATTCAGTGGTTCTCTAAAAGAAGACATTTGTAAATATTTCCCATAAGGTCCTATGTTAAAACTAAGTCCCCCGCAGGCGGCCATCTTGGATTATGGATCAGCTTCAAAGTAACAACACTTGGTCAGCACCTCATAAGGAACATTCACGCCATGTTTGGTTTCATTCCATTCAGTGGTTCTCTAAAAGAAGACATTTGTATGTATTTCCCATAGGGTCCTATGTTAAACTAAGTCCCCCACTGGTGGCCATCTTTGATGATGGATCGGCTTCAAAGTCACAACACTTGGTCAGCACCTCATAAGGAACATTCATGCCATGTTTGGTTTCATTCCATTCAGTGGTTCTCTAAAAGAATACATTTGTAAATATTTCCCATAGGGTCCTATGTTAAACTAAGTCCCCCGCAGGCCGCCATCTTGGAGTATGGATAGCCTTCAAAGTAACAACACTTGGTCAGCACCTCAAAAGGAACATTCATGCCATGTTTGGTTTCATTCCATTCAGTGGTTCTCTAAAAGAAGACATTTGTATGTATTTCCCATAGGGTCCTATGTTAAACAAAGTCCCCCGCTGGCGGCCATCTTGGATGATGGATCGTCTTCAAAGTTACAACACTTGGTCAGCACCTCATAAGGAACATTCATGTCATGTTTGGTTTCATTCCATTCAGTGGTTTTCTAGAAGAAGTTCAAAATGTAAAAAGTAAAAGACGACGATGGACGACGGACGCCAAGTGATGAGAAAAGCTCACTTGGCCCTCGGGCCAGGTGAGCTAAAAAAGAATAGTTATATAAGGGTCTAAATCGGGTTTACAGGATAGAGAATAAATAGCTAATATTTCAGATAATGATTAAAACTAGAGGCTCTCAAGAGCCTGTGTCGCTCACCTGACTCTACTTTGGTTTTAGAAATCATGTAAAGATAGATAGAATCATATCAGATACCCAAATAATGATTGAGGCCAATACTTGTATGTATTTCCCATAGGGTCCTATGTTAAACTAAGTCCCCCCCCCCCCCCTGGCGGCCATCTTGGATGATGGATCGGCTGCAAAGTTACAACACTTGGTCAGCACCTCATAAGGAACATTCATGCTATGTTTGGTTCCATTCCATTCAGTGGTTTTCTAAAAGAAGACATTTGTTTGTATTTCTCATAGGGTCCTATATTAAACTAAGTCCCCCGCTGTCGGCCATCTTGGATGATGGACTGACTGCAAAGTAACAACACTTGGTCAGCACTTCAAAAGGAACATTCATGCCATGTTTGGTTTCATTCCATTTAGTGGTTTTCTAAAAGAAGACATTTGTATGTATTTCCCATAGGGTCCTATGTTAAACTAAGTCCACCCGCTGGCGGCCATCTTGGATGATGGATTGACTGCAAGGTAACAACACTTGGTCAGCATCTCATAAGGAACATTCATGCCATGTTTGGTTTCATTCCATTCAGTGGTTCTCTAAAAGAAGACATTTGTATGTATTTCCCAAAGGGTCCTATGTTAAACTAATTCACCCACTGGTGGCCATCTTGGATGATGGATCGGCTTCAAAGTAACAACACTTGGTCAGCACCTCATAAGGAACATTCATGCCATGTTTGGTTTCATTCCATTCACTGGTTCTCTAAACTAGAGTCCCTCAAGAGCCTGTGTCGTTCACCTGTATTTACTGATGCTTTGGAAATCATGTAAAATAAGGTTAAAATCATAATTAAAAGTATTAGATATTAGATATTATAATGATATCTAAGATAATAACAAAAAACTGCAAAATTTTTGTAAAATTACTAACTCAAGGGCAGCAACCCAACAACGGGTTGTTGGATTCGTCTGAAAATTTCAGGGCAGATAAATCTAAATCTGATGAACATTTTTGCCACCTGTCAGATTTGCTCTAAATGCTTTAGTTTCAGAGATATAAACCAAAAACTGCATTTTACCCCTATGTTCTATTTTTAACCAAGTCAGCCATGATGGTTGGAAGGCGGGATCATCGGACAAATTTTTTAAACTAGATACCCTAATAATGATTATGGCCAAGTATGGTTAAATTTGTCTCAGTAGTTTCAGAGAAGAAGATTTTGTAAAAGATTACAAAAATTTACGAAAAATTGTTAATAAAATGCTCCGCTGGGCGCAGCTTGATACGACCCCAGAGGTCGAACCCTGAACAGTTGGGGCAAGTATGGACACAACATTCAAGCTTGATACAGCTTTGCATTTGGATTGTGATTAAATATTTGACACAGCATAGGTTTCTGACACAGAATGAATGTGGTCTAAGAACTTAAAAATTTTAAATTGGACATTCACCTATTATGGTCCAATATCCAAAATCTAAATACATGGTTAGATTCAGCATATCAAAGAACCCCAAGAATTCAATTTTTGATGAAATCAAACAAAGTTTAATGTTGGACCCTTTTGACCTCAATGTGGACAAAGTTGATAATGGGGCCCAAAAATCAAAAATCTAAATACATGATTAGATTCAGCATATCAAAGAACCCCATATATTCAATTTTTGTTGAAATCAAACAAAGTTTAATTTTGGACCCCGATTTGGACCAACTTGAAAACTGGGCCCATAATCAAAAATCTAAATACATGTTTAGATTCAGCATATCAAAGAACCCTAAGAATTCAATTTTTGTTATAATCAAACTAAGTTTAATTTTGGACCCTTTGGACCTTAATGTAGACCAATTTGAAAACGGAACCAAAAATTAAGAATCTAAATACACGGTTAGATTCGGCATATCAAAGAACCCCAAGAATTCAATTTTTGATGAAATCAAACAAAGTTTAATTTGTGACCCCGATTTGGACCAACTTGAAAACTGGGCCCATAATCAAAAATCTAAATACATGTTTAGATTCAGCATATCAAAGAACCCTAAGAATTCAATTTTTGTTAAAATCAAACTAAGTTTAATTTTGGACCCTTTGGACCTTAATGTGGACCAATTTAAAAATGGGGCCCAAAATCCAAAAACTAAATACACGGTTAGATTCAGCATATTAAAGAACCCCAAGAATTCAAGAATAAAACCCCATTGAAATTGGTCAAGAAATAAGCAATTTATACGAAGTATCTTCTTTTGCACAATACTGTGCAATTAAATATTTCTAGCTATTGCGCAATACTGTACAATTGACAATTTCTTGCTATTGCGAAATATTGTGCTATTGGATATTTCTTTCTATTGCGCAATACTGTGCAATTGAAGATTTCTTGCTATTGCGCAATACTGTGCAATTGAAGATTTCTTGCTATTGTGCAATACTGTGCAATTGAAAATTTCTTGCTATTGCACAATACTTATTATATAATAATTTACACATCCTGTTTGGTGTGTATCTCCTACCATATCATTATTATTTGCTTTTAAATATAAATCAGAAATAACCAACTTAAAATGGAAAATTTTAAAAGAAAACCCCCCCCCCCCCTCCAAATTTTTTGAACCCCCTTATGATTCATCACCCCCAAACTCAATCCCAGCCTTCCCTTTGTGGTATGGTACCTTGCAGTACAATTTCAGAGAGATCCATACACTTGAACACAAGTTATTGTCTGGAAACTAGAAAAATGTGTTTTTTTGGCCCCTTTTTGGCCCCAAATTCCTAGAATATTGAGGCAATTACCCCCATCATCAATCCCAGCCTTCCCATTGTGGTATGGTACCTTGCAGTACAATTTCAGAGAGATCCATACACTTTAACACAAGTTATTGTCTGGAAACTAGAAAAATGCTTATTTTTGGCCCCCAATTCCTAAATGTTTCGGCAATTATCCCCAAACTCAATTCCAGCTTTCCCTTTATGATATGGAACCTTGTAGTACAATTTCAGAAAGATCCATACACTAACACACACGTTATTGTCATGAAACTAGAAAAATGCCTGTTTTTTGCCCCTTTTTTGGCCCCTAATTCCTAAAATTTTGAGGCAATTACCCCCAAAATCAATCCCAGAATTCCTTTTGTGATATGGAACCTTGTGGTACAATGTCAGAGAGATCCATACACTAACACACAAGTTATGTCTGGAAGTTACAAAAATGCTTATTTTTGGCCCCTTTTTGGCCCCTAATTCCTTTACTGTTGGTACCATAACCCCCAAAATCAATCCCAACCTTCCTTTTGTGGTATTGAAACTTGTGGTAAAATTTTATAGAGATCCATTCACTTAAAATAAAGTTAGAGTGCGAAAACCAATGTGTCTTCGGACGACGCCGGACGACGCCAGACGACGACGACGACGACAACGACGACGCCAACGTCATACCAATATACGACCACAAAAATTTTTTTGCGGTCGTATAAAAATTGACTATTAAGGGCAATAACTCCTAAAGGGGACAACTGACAATTTTGGTCATGGCAACTTATTTGTAGATCTTACTTTGCTGAACATTATTGCTGTTTACAGTTTATCTCTATCTATAATAATATTCAAGATAATAACCAAAAACTGCAAAATTTCCTTAAAATTACCAATTCAGGGGCAGCAACCCAACAACAGGTTGTCAGATTTGTCTGAAAATTTCAGGGCAGATAGATCTTGACCTGATAATCAGTTTTATCCTATGTCAGATTTACTCTAAATGCTTTGGTTTCAGAGATATAAGCCAAAATCTACATTTTACCCCTATGTTCTATTTTTAGCCATGGCGGCCATCTTGGTTGGTTGGCGGGGTCATCAGACACATTTTTTAAACAAGATACCCTAATGATGATTGTGGCCAAGTTTGGTTAAATTTGGCCTAGTGGTTTCAGAGGAGAAGATTTTTGTAAAAAGCAAACGCCGACGGACGACGCCGACGACGAAGACACCGACGCCGGACGACGGACGCCAAGTGATGAGAAAACCTCGCTTGGCCCTTCGGGCCAGGTGAGCTTAAAAGTTAACGACGACGATGGACAACGACGACGGACGCCAAGTGATGAGAAAAGCTCACTTGGCCCTTTGGGCCAGGTGAGCTAAAAAAAAGAAGAGAGAAAAATAGGCCAAAATGAAGAGAATAATGTGCAGAATAGAGAATGATGTGCAAAATTTATAAAGAATTATATACATAAGTTACGGTCTGCGAACCACTTTATTGTCTATGAACCAGTAAAACTGCTTGTTTTTGGACCCTTTTTGGCACCTAATTACAAAACGGCTAAGACAATACCCCCCCAAATCAATCCCAACCTTCCTACTATGGTATGGAACCTTGTGCTAAAATTTCATAGATATACTAAAGTTATTGTCTGTGAACTCAAATGTCTTCGGACGCTGCTGCAGACATTGCCATAACATAATAGGACTGCAAAATTTTGCAGTTGTATAAAAAAGTCCATTCATTGTTAATTCTTTTTGACTTTTTGTAAATTGGATATAAGTTTTTATTTGTATGTACGATATAAACCAAATGTGAGAAATTTGAGTCAAATTGGTGAACATGAATTTGACAGCCAATGCCCCTTTAAAGTTTACACTTTTTAAAACATAATAAAATGCTCCGCTGGGCGCAGCTTGATACGACCGCAGAGGTCGAACCCTGAACAGTTGGGGCAAGTATGGACACAACATTCAAGCTTGATACAGCACTGAATTTGGATTGTGATTAAATATTTGACACAGCATAGGTTTCTGACACAGAATGAATGTGGTCTAAGAACTCAAAAAAACTTAATTTACATATACAAACCATATCATTATTATTTGCTTTTATATATAAATCAAAAATAACTAATTTAAAATGGAAAATTTTAAAGAAAAAAAAAATTTTTTGAACCCCCTAATGATTCATCCCCCCAAACTCAATCCCAGCCTTCCCTTTGTGGTATGGTACATTGCAGTACAATTTCAGAGAGATCCATACACTTGAACACAAGTTATTGTCTGGAAACTAGAAAAATGCTTGTTTTTTGGCCCCTTTTTGGCCCCAAATTCCTTAACATTTAGGGCAATTACCTCCAAACTCAAACCCAGCTTTCCCTTTGTGATATGGAACCTTGTAGTACAATTTCATAAAGATCCATACACTTACATACAAGTTATTGTACTGAAACTAGAAAAATGCTTGTTTTTTGCCCCTTTTTGGCCCCTTATTCCTAAAATTTTGAGGCAATTACCCCAAACTCAATCCCAGCCTTTCCTTTGTGGTATGGTACCTTGCAGTACAATTTCAGAGAGATCCATACACTTGAACACAAGTTATTGTCTGGAAACTAGAAAAATGCTTATTTTTGGTCCCTTTTTGGCCCCTTATTCCTTAACGTTTTGGGCAATTACCCCCAAACTCAATTCCAGCTTTCCCTTTGTGATATGGAACCTTGTAGTACAATTTCAGAAAGATCCATAGACTTACACACAAGTTATTGTCATGAAACTAGAAAAATGCTTGTTTTTTGCCCCTTTTTTGGCCCCTAATTCCTAAAATTTTGAGGCAATTACCCCCAAAATCAATCCCAGCATTCCCTTTGTGATATTAAACCTTGTGGTACAATGTCAGAGAGATCCATACACTAACACACTAAGTTTTGTCTGGAAGTTACAAAAATGCTTATTTTTGGCCCCTTTTTGGCCCCTAATTCCTTAACTGTTGGTACCATAACCCCCAAAATCAATCCCAACCTTCCTTTTGTGGTATTGAACCTTAGGGTAAAATTTCATAGAGATCCATTCACTTAAACTAAAGTTAGAGTGCGAAAACCAATGTGTCTTCGGACGACGACGACGACATACCAATATACGACCGCAAAATTCGGTCGTATAAAAATACCAGACTTTATAAAGATTCCTCTTAAAAGGTTGATCATTGTATTTTCTCAGTAAACCCGAGACCAATGGATAAAGAGACTTCAACATAAGACAATCAAAGCGCGAAAGCGCTGTAAAGGCAGTTAATTACAGGTTGTGTGTATTTTTAGTCCAGTTATATCATTATCTTGCATAGTACATTGTACTTATCAGAGGTGGCTTTCAGTATTTAAGATTTAGAGTTCTCTAACGATATTGAACAAGTTTTATGAATGTCATATTCTGAGCACTATATGAAGGCGATTGTTCTCACTTGTTTATGAACTAGTGCATTATGTCCAGTTTGTACCTTTTTTATCTATGTTTATAGTCAAATACTGTTTAAAATAGTTTGGCATTTTCTTTTAAGTAATAAGTAAATGTTATCAACTGTATTTTATTCAACTTTGCAAATGTGGTTTGTTACTGGTAAGTACAATGTATGGATGATAGTTGTTTCATTGGCAATCATAACACATCTCCTTATTTATATAATGATCTATATTCAACGACCTCAGGTACAAAAAAAATGTATGTAACTAAACTATGATGGGAAACCTTTGACTTCTTTCTTTAATATAAACTTTTGATTTGGTACCATAGAATTATGTAGAATAAATGTACATTGCAACATGTCAACTCTTTCAATGACAATACTTTTTTTAGAAACTATAACTCCAAGCAAAATTATATTTCCAAGTATAAAGTAATTTATGAATGAAACAAGAGTGCACACGCTGAAATGTCTCGCCTTCTTTACTAATCATTGATATTATGTTGATAGTCCTAAATATAAAGCTTTATTACAACTGTCACATAAACTTAACATTAACCAAGTAAACTAAACATTGACCAATGAACCAAGAAAATGAGGTCAAGGTCAGATGAACCATGCTAGGCAGGCATGTACAGCTAACAATTCTTCCATACAACAAATATAGTTGACCTATTGCTTATAGTTTAAGAAAAACAGACCAAAACACAAAAACTTAAAACTGAGCAATGAACCTTGAAAATGAGGTCAAGGTAAAAAAAAACCTGTGTGACTGACATATAGATCATAAAATATTTCCATACACCAAATATAGTTGAACTATTGCATATAGTATAAGAAAAGAAGACAAAACTCAAAAACTTAACTTTGACCACTGAACCGTGAAAATGAGGTCAAGGTCAGATGACACCTGCCAGCTAGACATGTACACCTTACAATCATTCCATACACCAAATATAGTAGACCTATTGCATACAGTATAATTAAACATACCAAAACACAAAAACTTAACTATAACCACTGAACCATGAAAATGAGGTCAAGATCAGATGACACCTGCCAGTTGGACATGTACACCTTACAGTCCTTCCATACACCGAATATACTAGACCTATTGCTTATAGTATCTGAGATATGGACTTGACCACCAAAACTTAACCTTGTTCACTGATCCATGAAATGAGGTCGAGGTCAAGTGAAAACTGTCTGACGGGCATGAGGACCTTGCAAGGTATGCACATACCAAATAAAGTTATCCTATTACTTATAATAAGAGAGAATTCAACATTACAAAAAATCTTTACTTTTTTTTCAAGTAGTCACTGAACCATGAAAATGAGGTCAAGGACATTGGACAAGTGACTGACGGAAACTTCATAACATGAGGCATCCATATACAAAGTATGAAGCATCCAGACCTTCCACCTTCTAAAATATAAAGCTTTTAAGAAGTTAGCGAACTTAGCCGGATCACTTTCCCTATGTCGAGCTTTCTGCGACAAAAGTTGCAGGCTCGACAAAAAGGAGTTCTTAATTAAGCAATAAATTGATTCGCTGAGCGCAGCTGGATACACCCACAGAGGTCCAACCCTGAACAGTTGGGGCAAAAATGGACACAATATTCAAGCTTGATACAGGTCTGAATTTGGATTGTAATTAAATATTTGACATATTATAACTTCTGAATAAATGTAGTCAAAGAACTTGAAATCGGTTATATGAATTGAATTTATATTCAATTAAAGATTTCTTGCTGTTGTGCAATACACTGTGCTGTTGCGCAATACTTAATAAATCTGTTGCCAGACTATAAACAAATAAAGTTCAATTTCTTCTCAATGTCATATTTGAAATTTATGAAAATCAATAGGGAGATTACATCAATAGCTATAAATAATTCACCAAAGTTTCATGCGAACTACTTAAAGCATTTTTGAGTTGTTGTCCAAAAACTCGAAAATCCCCCCCTTTTTAATGAATAAAACCCCACAACTCAATAATGTAAAATCTAAAATTTATAAAATTCTAAAGGGAGCTTACGGATTGATAATTTAGTCTTAGATGCAAGATTTTTATATCAGTTGTTTGTGGCTTTGAACTAGCTGTCAGTAAATGCGAGTACTCTCAGATCTGTACTTAGTGTCTTTTTGTTGTTTGGATGTACAACTACCCGGCCACGTCCACTTGTATTTGTATTTATCCATCTGATGAGTTAAGCCTCTTTCAACTGATTTTTATAGTTCGCTCTTATATTGTACTGTTACACCACTGTCCCAGGTTAGGGGGTGGGTTGGGATCCCGCGAACATGTTTAACCCCCCCACATTCTGTATGTACATGTATGTGCCTGTCCCAAGTCAGGAGCCTGTTATTCAGTGGTTGTCGTTTGTTTATGTGTTGCATATTTGTTATTCGTTCATTTTTTGTACATAAATTAGGCCGTTAGTTTTCTTGTTTGAATTGTTTTACATTGTCATTTCGGGGCCTTTTATAGCTCACTGTGCGGTATGTGCTTTGCTCATTGTTGAAGGCCGTACTGTGACCTATAGCTGTTAATTTCTGTGTCATTTGGTCTCTTGTGGAGAGTTGTCTCATTGGCAATCATACCACATCTTCTTTTTTATATTTACATCAACAGATATAAACAATTCACCAAAGTCAAGGTGAGACAACAAAACTTAGTTGTAAGATCTCTGAAATTTTTTACATGTACAAGTTTTTCTAATTGTTGGAGATTGTATGGTGACAGTAACACCTGTAACTGCTTAACCCATTTCTTATGCACTTTGGTTCGATAAACTCACTGAATATCATACCACATCTCCTTATTTTTATATGCATTACAATTTACATGTGCATGTAATTGTAAATAATATTTGTATATATATATCAGAACAAACTTCATTGCGTCACTTTTATTTATGCATCCTTTGGCACAATACAAGTTCTAAAATTACACAACATAAAACAACTAAATGTTATTTCAGATGAAAGTTTTGTTTCAGTTCCATTCATAGGATTTATTAGAATTTTGTGTTTTGCCAAGTCCAATAATTAGCTCTATGTGCACGTGTTAATTGGAGACTTTTCTATCCCGTATAAGAGTTTTGGAACTAATTCTGTTTCTTTTTTTGAAAAAAGTGAGCAAACAAATCTTGCACATTTAAACCTTTGTCTGCCATCACACTGTCACCTGGATCACATAATTGAACTATTCTACATCTTTCAACTATTTCACAGTCACTGGTACAATCAACATATGCATTAGAGACATAGTTGACTAAACCACCAGGTGTCGAACATACAAGTATTTTCAGAGTTTCTGTTTTTATATGATGAAAAGGTTGCCTGAGCTCTAGGAGCTTTAGGTTTTATCACGGGATATTCTGTGCTGTCAATGATAATCCAAGTTGTAGGAAACTTTAATTCTAAGTTGGATGGCGAAAAATACCTGACTAAACCACTAAATGGCCAAGTGTTAGCCTCACGCCACTGTTTAGACATAAAAACAATCCATGTTTACACAATATTCTTAACACTAGTTTCAATCTAGAATCTAGACAGTTCAAAGTTGGTTGTATAATGCATCAATTTCATCAAAGTCATAAAAAAACTGATTTTCAAATGACACCCTATCAATTTGAAAATATATGTATCTCAAACAATGTGCTGTTGGACCAAGTGTGGTCAAAACAAATAAAAATTTAGTATACAACTCTAAACCGGTATAAAAATGCATGGCTGTGTCACGGGTCTTCATTTCAAAATTCTCTGCTGAAAATATAGGCATTGATGGTGTTTGCGTAATTCCATCTGTGAAGCTCAACATTAGCTCGGCAGTTGGTGGTGGACAGTCATAAATCCTGTCTGCAGTATGAATTACTTCTTCAGGAAAACCAACTTTACAATCAAAACTTTCCTCTAGATTTCTACTACAATATTCATCAAGTTTAGTTCTTTTGTTTTCACAGGAAACTGCCCTGATTTTTCTTTTTGCAGACGATTCAGTCTCTTGCTTGGTCCAGGAAAATAGGCTGGGATTGGCAGTAGACTTAAGTCTCTGTACGGTGGGTTTGTGCCCTGAAAAAGGTTATAAAACATTAGTTTTTTGATAATTAAATGAACTTCCATTAGCAATGCATACTTTGTACAGAAGCAAGTTAACTCGTACCATTGTAAACTCGTACCACGTAAACTCGTACCAACGTACACTCGTACCACTGGGAAGTCGTACCAATCAGAACTCGTACCACTGCAAACTCGTACCATTAAAAATATTTTCAAAAATACGAAAGTTTTATGATTTTTTTTTGGTAAACTAAATAAAAAAAGTTGAATTACTTGAATTTTATACTAGATTTTAATGAAAACTTAGACAAAAATACGAATGTTTTATGATTATTTTTTTTTTAAGCTTTATACAAAAAATTAAAATATCTTTGAAATTTATACCAGATTTTAATGAAAACTTAGACAAAAATACAAATGTAATTTCTTAATTACCATGCTAATAAATATATTAAATTCCTTTGATTGTGTGATTATTGGTTGATTATTAACTAATCAACTTGTATAATCATATAAGCATGGTCATATTCTGCTGAAATGTGCTGAATATTGTATAAAAATAAATTTCATACTTTCTAACTGTTGGTCATAAACAATTTTAAACCTTTAAAACACAATCAATAAATTCTTTCATTAAATAAAATTCCTTTTAGAAACAATAGAAAAATACCCAAATCTATTCAATGTTACTGATTTGGAATGATTAAAAATTAAATCAAATAGTTGTCAGTAAAAGTTTAAAAAAGAGTCTATTCAAGGGAGACAACAAAGCCAATCTGCCACGGTTTTCTCTATCCAATTAGACAAGGAAAATTAGCTACAAATTGGTTATTGTAATTTCAAATTATATACATTTTACAGACTTAAGAGGTATTGAGTGAAATTAAAGTATATATTCATCATTAAACACCATTTGAATGCATTTAAATAAGTTGGTACGAGTTTACAATGGTATGAATTTACCGTGGTACGAGTTAGCAGTGGTACGAGTTTGCATTGGAACGAGTTTTTGTTTAGTGGTACGAGTTGACATTGGTATGAGTTACAATGGTACGAGATAACTATAATTCCTTTGTACTAGTAACCTGGCAAAATATTAACTAGATTTATTCATTACAATCTGGATAAAACTATGTTAGCCTGATTCAATGTACATCAAAATGTATGTTATGTAAATCCAAAGGACAAACAATGAGAGACGTATGCAACAAACATACATTGTTTGTACCTAAATAACTATAATATAGATGAGAGCATGTCATTGTTTTGTTCCTGTTAACATTGTCATTGATATTTTTCAAGAAAGTCTATGAGGCATAGCTTATGCATTCCTGTCATTACTACCAGGCGCGTAGCAACCCGTACGCAAAAACGCAGTTGCGTACACATCGAAAATTTGACAAAAATAAAAATATGGTTAATCTAGTAAGAATAAAAGTAAGGTAATAAATTTAATTAATAAGTATTATACAAACATGTTAATAATCACTTTGCTGCCATATTCCGTTCCGGAAACTACTCTTTTCATTTACAGAACCAGCATCGTTCATCGTGAAATTGTTATTCCTTCTTTGTAATTTGGAGTTGGTTAGCAAAATGGACTGGAGATTTTGATGGCATTCCTAACAACTTACAGGAAATATTAAATGTTATAAACAAGGATTTATACACGGGATTCTTTAATATACTTAACGTATTTGCATGTGTGCCGGTCTCAACGGCAACTGCAGAACGGTCTTTCAGTACCATGATAAGAGTGAAGACCTACTTGACTGAAATAAAATGCAAACCAATCGTTTATCTGGGCTTGGTCTATTGAACATATACCGTGAAAAACAAATTTCAGCAGACACTGTTTTGGACATCTTCAGTAGAAGAAAGGAAAGGAAATAGGCCTTGATTTTTCAGAACTAACTTTGAGAATTAAAAGCCGAAAGAAAGACTACTTGTTCACTTAAAAAAGAAAACATGAAGAAATGTGATTCTATTATTCATGTATTTTCTCACTTAAAAAATTACCCTCAAAGTTGCATGGTGTTGGCTCAGAAATTTTGTTTTTCTATATATATATATATATATATATAGTGGGTTGAGTCTGATTATGTAACAATTAAAATATATGGTGGTGGCTCCATGTATTTTAATTGTACTTAATACCTACTCAAGCTTAACCCACTAGTCTACACATTAGAAAAACCAAATTTCTAAGCAAACCGTACGTGTTTGTTTTTCTCTAGTTAATTTTTTTTTCAAATTTATCTTCAAAAGTTGTCTTGTTACTCATGAAAAGAAAATTTTCGTGAGGTCATTTTATGTCCAAGGAAGTTGCAAGAATGCAGGATTTTGCACCATTTACCCCAGAGCTTCAGGGGGACCTCAACGGCCCCATACCCCCTAACGAAGGACTTCCTTCTCCGGCATTGAGTACACATCATTTTGGCCTAGCTACGCCCCTGACTACATAAGCATAATTACTGCTAAAATAATTCTCAGTATGATATACCTCTTGTAAGAAATCATTATAATTGTAGCAAGCACCAAAAAATCTCAAACAGATCACATTGAATCGTAATCCAAAAAATTATGACGTCTTGAATTAACCACCCCCTTTTATTCTAAAACGATAATTGCGGTTGTAAACTGACTTTGGTTTATTCGCATGGCGATTACATATATAACTATATATTTTAAAAAGAAAATAGAGTTTTACCATGAATAGTTTCCTGCACGTAGTCTTTTTCAGTAAAATGTGCCTTGCAAACAACAGCTGATTGAGATGGACTCCACGATTTCATCGTGTTCTCGTCCAATCTGCGTATGGGCCATGGCGTTGATCCAACTTTTCCTTCTTTTTAAGTCATTTGGAAATGCATGTCCTCCTCTTAAATGACATCCAGGTACACAACAACAAGTACTTGGCATCGTTAATTAAAAATGCAACTGTAATAGTTGCACAGTGCAGAAACCGGAAGTTGAAGTACAGGATCGGCTACCACGGCGCCACCTATTCAGGAACGATAATTTGCTACTTTATATAACTGCGAAATAACAATAACGTTAGACGGGTTCGCGTGCATAAACAGAAATGCGCTTTAAATTGTATAATATAATTCATGTTCAGTCGACCTTTAATTATTATATCAACGACTGAAATGATTTATAAACATCTAGATTGCAGATAACACTCGAAATTAACCCGACCTCTTTCCATACGGAATTCAAATAATTCTAGTTTGTCAATCGGTTGACTGCTTATAATGTAAAATACAAATATATCAAAAGTTTTTAAAACTAACAAAACACAATGATCGTTTCTCTATTTCCCAATGTAAATGAAATGAGACAAAAAACATTTTATACCACAATAAGAAGAGGAGAGAATCAACATTTTCCGGATCTACTTGGAGCTAAATGACCCCCCACGTAGATAAGTTGGATATCGCGGAAAGAAATATTAACACGGCAACTAGAAAGGCATTAAAGCACTGCCTTTAAAAATTTACCATTAAATGGTCTTTTAAGGGGCATTTCTATGTTTAAACAAAAAAGTCTCTTGAAAAAGGTGCATGAGGATAATTATCATTAGGCACATAAATATTACCAAAAATAATTCCATGAAGGTTTGAAAAAGATTTTGATGTCTGAAAAACTTAAACCTTAGACTTTATTTTAATGTTAACAGCAAAAACTAGAGGCTTTCAAGGGCCTGTGTCGCTCACCTGTATTTACTGATGCTTTGGAAATCATGTAAAATAAGGTTAAAATCATAATTAATAGTATTAGATATTAGATATTATAATGATATCTAAGATAATAACAAACAAGAGGCTCTCAAGAGCCTGAATCGCTCACCTGTATTTCAGAGGAGAAGATTTTTTAATGTTAGCAAACTTGATGAACAAATTGGGTAAAATTGTCTTTAAAGGGCAATAACTCCTTAAGGGGTCAATTGACAATTTTGGTCATATAAACTTTTTTGTAGATCTTACTTTGCTGAACATTATTGCTGCTTACAGTTTACATATATCTATAGTAATATTCAAAATAATAACAAACTAGAGGCTCTAAAGAGCCTGTGTCGCTCACCTTGGTCTATGTGAATATTAAATAAAGGACGCAGATGGATTCATGACAAAATTGTGTTTTGGTGATGGTGATGTGTTTGTACATCTTAATTTACTGAACATTTTTCCTGCTTACAATTATCTCTATCTATAATTAACTTGGCCCAGTAGTTTCAGAGGAGAAGATTTTTGTAAAAGATTACTAAGATTTACGAAAAAATGGTTAAAAATTGACTATAAAGGGCAATAGCTCCTAAAGGGGTCAACTGACAATTTCGGTCATGTTGACTTATTTGTAGATCTTACTTTGCCGACATTTATTGTTTTTTACAGTTTATCTCTATCTATAATAATAATCAAGATAATAACCAAAAACAGCAAAATTACCTTAAAATTACCAATTCAGGGGCAGCAACCCAACAACGGGTTGTCCGATTCATCTGAAAATTTCAGGGCAGATAGATCGTGACCTGATAAACAATTTTACTGCATGTCAGATTTGCTTTAAATGCTTTGGTTTTTGAGTTAAAAGCCAAAAACTGAATTTTACCCCTATGTTCTATTTTTAGCCGTGGCGGCCATCTTGGTTGGTTGACCAGGTCACGCCACACATTTTTAAAACTAAATAACCAAATGATGATTGTGGCCAAGTTTGGTTTAATTTGGCCACGTAGTTTCAGAGGAGAAGATTTTTGTAAAAGATTACTAAGATTTACGAAAAATTGTTAAAAATTGACTATAAAGGGCAATAACTCCTAAAGGGGTCAACTGACCATTTCAGTCATGTTAACTTATTTGTTAATCTTACTTTGCTGAACATTATTGCTGTTTACAGTTTATCTCTATCTATAATAATATTCAAGATAATAACCAAAAACAGCAAAATTTCCTTAAAATTACCAATTCAGGGGCAGCAACCCAACAACAGGTTGTTCGATTCATCTGAAAATTTCAGGGCAGATAGATCTTGACCTGATAAACAATTTTACTTCAGTCAGATTTGCTCTAAATGCTTTGGTTTTTGAGTTATAAGCCAAACACTGCATTTTACCCCTATGTTTTATTTTTAGCTGTGGCCGCCATTTTGGTTGGTTGGCCGGGTCACGCCACACATTTTTTAAACTAGATACCCCAATGATGATTGTGGCCAAGTTTGGTTTAGTTTGGCCCAGTTGTTTCAGAGGAGAAGATTTTTGTAAAAGATAACTAAGATTTACGAAAAATGGTTAAAAATTGACTATAAAGGGCAATTACTCCTAAAGGGGTCAACTGACCATTTCGTTTATTTGACTTATTTGTAAATCTTACTTTGCTGAACATTATTGCTGTTTACAGTTTATCTCTATCTATAATAATATTCAAGATAATAACCAAAAACAGCAAAATTTCCTTAAAATTACCAATTCAGGGGCAGCAACCCAATAACGGGTTGTCCGATTCATCTGAAAATTTCAGGGCAGATAGATCTTGACCTGATGAACAATTTTACCCCATGTCAGATTTGCTCTTAATGCTTTGGTTTTTGAGTTATAAGCTAAAAACTGCATTTTACCCCTATGTTCTATTTTTAGCCGTGGCGGCCATCTTGGTTGGTTGACCAGGTCACGCCACACATTTTTAAAACTAGATACCCCAATGATGATTGTGGCCAAGTTTGGTTAAATTTGGCCCAGTAGTTTCAGAGGAGAAGATTTTTGTAAAAGTTTACGGACGACGGACGACGGACGACGGACGCAGGACGACGGACGCAGGACGACGGACGACGGACGCAAAGTGATGAGAAAAGCTCACTTGACCTTTCAGGTCAGGTGAGCTAAAAACTGCAAAATTTTGTTAAAACTACTAATTCAGTGGCAGCAATCCAACAATGGGTTGTTCCATTCATCTGATAATTTCAGGGATGATAGATCTTGACCAATTGAACAATTTTACCCCATGTCGCATTTGCTCTAAAAGATTTAGTTTTTGAGATATAAGCCAATAAAATGCTCCGCAGGGCGCAGCTTGATACGACCCCAGAGGTCGAACCCTGAACAGTTGGGGCAAGTATGGATACAACATTCAAGCTTGATACAGCTTTGCATTTGGATTGTGATTAAATATTTGACACAGCATAGGTTTCTGACACAGAATGAATGTGGTCTAAGAACTTAAAAATTTTAAATTGGACATTCACCTATTATGGTCCAATATCCAAAATCTAAATACATGGTTAGATTCAGCATATCAAAGAACCCCAAGAATTCAATTTTTGATGAAATCAAACAAAGTTTAATTTTGGACCCTTTTGACCTCAATGTAGACAAAGTTGATAACGGGGCCCAAAAATCAAAAATCTAAATACATGGTTAGATTCAGCATATCAAAGAACCCCAATAATTCAATTTTTGATGAAATCAAACAAAGTTTAATTTTGGACCCGATTTGGACCAACTTGAAAACTGGGCCCATAATCAAAAATCTAAATACATGTTTAGATTCAGCATATCAAAGAACCCTAAGAATTCAATTTTTGTTAAAATCAAACTAAGTTTAATTTTGGACCCTTTGGACATTAATGTAGACCAATTTGAAAACGGAACCAAAAATTAAGAATCTAAATACACGGTTAGATTCGGCATATCAAAGAACCCCAATAATTCAATTTTTCATGAAATCAAACAAAGTTTAATTTTGGACCCTTTGGACCTCAATGTGGACCAATTTAAAAACGGGGCCCAAAATCCAAAAACTAAATACACGGTTAGATTCAGCATATTAAAGAAACCCAAAAATTCAAGAATAAAACCCCATTGAAATTGGTCAAGAAATAAGCAATTTATACGAAGTATCTTCTTTTGCACAATACTGTGCAATTAAATATTTCTTGCTATTGTGCAATACTGTACAATTGACAATTTCTTGCTATTGCGCAATATTGTGCTATTTGATATTTCTTGCTATTGCGCAATACTGTGCAATTGAAGATTTCTTGCTATTGCGCAATACTGTGCAATTGAAGATTTCTTGCTATTGTGCAATACTGTGCAATTGAAAATTTCTTGCTATTGCACAATACTTATTATATAATAATTTACACATCCTGTTTGGTGTGTATCTCCTACCATATCATTATTATTTGCTTTTAAATATAAATCAGAAATAACCAACTTAAAATGGAAAATTTTAAAAGAAAAAAAAAAGGAAAAAAAGAAAAAAAAGGAAAAAAAAAAAAATCCACCCCCCCCCCCAATTTTTTGAACCCCCTTATGATTCATCACCCCCATACTTAATCCCAGCCTTCCCTTTATGGTATGGTACCTTGCAGTACAATTTCAGAGAGATCCATACACTTGAACACAAGTTATTGTCTGGAAACTAGGAAAATGTGTTTTTTGGCCCCTTTTTGGCCCCAAATTCCTAAACGTTTAGGGCAATTACCCCCAAACTCAAACCCAGGTTTCCCTTTGTGATATGGAACCTTGTAGTACAATTTCAGAAAGATCCATACACTTACACACAAGTTATTGTCCTGAAACTAGAAAAATGCTTGTTTTTTGCCCCTTTTTGGCCCCTAATTCCTAAAATATTGAGGCAATTACCCCCATCATCAATCCTAGCATTCCCTTTGTGGTATGGTACATTGCAGTACAATTTCAGAGAGATCCATACACTTGAACACAAGTTATTGTCTGGAAACTAGAAAAATGCTTATTTTTGGCCCCTTTTTGGCCCCCAATTCCTAAACGTTTCGGCAATTACCCCCAAACTCAATTCCAGCTTTCCCTTTGTGATATGGAACCTTGTAGTACAATTTCAGAAAGATCCATACACTTACACACAAGTTATTGTCATGAAACTAGAAAAATGCTTGTTTTTTGCCCCTTTTTTGGCCCCTAATTCCTAAAATTTTGAGGCAATTACCCCCAAAATCAATCCCAGCATTCCTTTTTGTGATATGGAATCTTGTGGTACAATGTCAGAGAGATCCATACACTAACACACAAGTTATGTCTAGAAGTTACAAAAATGCTTACTTTTGGCCCCTTTTGGGCCCCTAATTCCTTTACTGTTGATACCATAACCCCCAAAATCAATCCCAACCTTCCTTTTGTAGTATTGAACCTTGTGGTAAAATTTCATAGAGATCCATTCACTTAAACTAAAGTTAGAGTGCGAAAACCAATGTGTCTTCGGACGACGCCGGACGACGCCAGACGACGACGACGACGACGCCAACGTCATACCAATATACGACCACAAAAATTTTTTTGCGGTCGTATAAAAACTGCATTTGACCCTTATGTTCTATTTTTAGCCATGGCGGCCATGTTTGTCGATGGATACAAACTTCGGATACAATTTATAAACAAGATACCCTAAGGAACATTTAGTTAAAGTTTGAAGGTAATTGGCCCAGTAGTTTCAGAGGAGAAGATTTTTAAATGTTAGCAAACTTGATGAACAAATTGTGTAAAATTGTCTTTAAAGGGCAATTACTCCTTAAGGGGTCAATTGACAATTATGGTCATATTAACTTTTTTGTAGATCTTACTTTGCTGAACATTATTGCTGCTTACAGTTTATAAACTAGATACCCTAAGGAACATTTAGTTAAAGTTTGAAGGTAATTGGCCCAGTAGTTTCAGAGGTGAAGATTTTTTAAATAGTTTACGACGACAGACGACAGACGACAACAGACGACGACGACAACGGACGCCAAGTGATGGCGTAAGCTCACATAGGGCCCTTCAGGCCCAGTGAGCTAAAAACTGCAAAATTTCTGTAAAATTACTGACTCAGGGGCAGCAACCCAACAACGGGTTGTCGGATTCGTCTGAAAATTTCAGGGTAGATAAATCTAAATCTGATGAACATTTTTGCCACCTGTCAGATTTGCTCTAAATGCTTTAGTTTCAGATATATAAACCAAAAACTGCATTTTACCCTTATGTTCTATTTTTAACCAAGTCAGTCATGATGGTTGGGAGGCGGGGTCATGGGACAAATTTTTTAAACTAAATACCCTAATAATGATTATGGCCAAGTATGGTTAAATTTGTCTCAGTAGTTTCAGAGAAGAAGATTTTTGTAAAAGATTACAAAACTTACGAAAAATTGTTAAAAATTGACTATAAAGGGCAATAACTCCTAAAGGGGTCGACTGACAATTTTGGTCATGTCGACTTATTTGTAGATCTTACTTTGCTGAACATTATTGCTGTTTACAGCTTATCTCTATCTATAATAATATTCAAGATAATAACCAAAAACTGCAAAATTTCCTTAAAATTACCAATTCAGGGGCAGCAACCCAACAACAGATTGTCAGATTTGTCTGAAAATTTCAAGGCAGATAGATCTTGACCTGATAATCAGTTTTACCCTATGTCAGATTTACTCTGAATGCTTTGGTTTCAGAGATATAAGCCAAAATCTACATTTTACCCCTATGTTCTATTTTTAGCCATGGCGGCAATCTTGGTTGGTTGGCGGGGTCATCGGACACATTTTTTAAACAAGATACCCTAATGATGATTGTGGCCAAGTTTGGTTAAATTTGGCCCAGTGGTTTCAGAGGAGAAGTTTTTTGTAAAAAGCTAACGACAACGGCGGACGACGACGACAACAACGAAGGACGACGGACGCCAAGTGATGAGAAAAGCTCACTTGGCACTTCAGGCCAGGTGAGCTAAAAAAAGAAAGTCAATTCATCAGTAAAATACGGAAAATTATTTTCAAAATTTTGCTCAGCTGTCTTTTGATCATAAAAAATCTTCTAAGTTTCATAAAATTCCATAAAGGAACATGTTAGTTGGTTTGTTTGTGCTTTGTGCTGATTTATTGAGTAAGGCTATTTGCAAATGATTTTTACAGTTTGCTCTTATGATGTGCTGTAACATCACTGTCCTAGGTAAGCATGGTAAGGGAAAGGGTTGAGCAATCACAAACATGTTTAACCTAGCCACATACTTTATGTGCCTGATCCAAGTCAGGAGCCTGAAATTAAGTGGCTGTCATTTGTTCATGTCATATTGGTTTTTTTGTAAATTGTAAATTAATTTCCTTGTTTGAATTGTTTCAAATTTTTCATTTTGGGGCAATTTATAGCTGACTATACGGCGTGGGTTTTTTCACTGTTGAAGGCTGTATGGTCACCTTTGATAGCTTATATCTTTGTCATTTGAAATCTGCTGGATAGTTGTCTCATTGGCAATTACACCATATCTGCTTATTTTTATATTGAAAAAGTTATTGATATTTATAAACTGAACCTTAATGTCAACGTTGATTCTGGAATGTAGAAGCGCTATGTATCCATTTTGCTACATTTTTAGGCTTAAAAAAAATCAACGTACATATGTACATGTATATAAGGGCAGTATTCAGGAATACTGTATTTAAAAAAAATTTCAACATTGTTTGAAGAAAATACCTTTCCAAAATTAGCAATATTCATATAATAATTCTTACCTGTATGTTGTTTAATGATGCCATTTCTGGGTTCTTGGACTGCTACTCTTGCTCTTTCTATGTCCTGTTTACTAAGGCTAGAAATCTGTCGGATGATGTCCTAAAACAGGGGGAAAAATAATACTAGTTTTTTTGCCCCTTTTAGGCCCCTTATTCCTTAACGATTTGGACCATGACCCCCATATCAATTCTAACCTTTCCTTTAGAAGTATTGAACCTTGAGGTAAAATTTCATAGAAATCCATACTTATTGTCCTGAAACAAAAAAAATGCTTGTTTTTGACCCATTTTTGGCCCCTAATTATTAAACAGCTATGACATTAACCCCCAAAATCAATCTTAACCTTCTTCTTATGGTATGGAACCTTGTGCTAAAATTTCATAGAGATCCATACACTTATTTTCAAGTTATTGTCTGTGAACCAGGGTAATGCTTTTGTTTGGGCCTTAATTACTAAACAGCTATGACAATAACCCCCAAAATCAATCCCAACCTTCCTATTGTGGTACGGAACCTTGTGCTAAAATTTCATATACCATACACTTATACTCAAGTTATTGTCTGTGAACCCAAATGTTTGCGTACAACAAATGTCTTCGGACAACGACACAGACATCACCATAACATAATATGGAAGCAAAAATTTTGTGGTCGAGTCAAAATATTCATATTAAATTCTTAGATATATATATATATATAGTTGTAAAGAGATATCAAGTTGTGTTTTCCTTTGTTTAGTCTGCAAATTACACTCCTCCAGATCATTATGTGTTCCGTGTTTACTGATATCCATTATTAATGACAATTAACAAATTTTGCTTTTTTGCTACACCTAATGTTAATAGTGTATGTTGTCTCCCTATCTTTACAAATATTATTAATTGGTAGGAAAATTCAATATCAATGGTCTTTAATAAACATTCACAATGGTTGTTTAACAAAATTTATTTTAATATTAAGAAAAATTAAAGAATGACTTGGCTGTATTCATAAATATCTTTTCATTTAAAGTATACTTAATGCCTATGTTTACGCTGGTTATTTCTAGTGTATATGTATAATTCTCTAATGGTTGTGGCCTTTTATCTAATTCTCACATGAAGAAATATTCTTATATCACACTGCATGGAGTTAGATACAAATAAATGGGGAATGTGTCCATGGGACATAGATGATGCCCCCGCTTGCATATCATATATAGTTATAAAGGGACATAACTGAAGAACGGTAAAAGTGACGCTACCCAAATTTGTACTTGATCTGAGTTTTGGGTAATAAGTATTGTGTATAAGTCTCATAACATTTGGTTGAGGTTAACTTTAGTTAGAGAACAGAAACGAAAAATTCAGCAATTTTTCCATTTGTAAACAGACACAACTCTAGAATGGTAAAAGTGACACCACCAAAATTCAAACTTTATCTGTATTTTGTGGTAATAAGCATTGTGTATAAGTTTCATAACATTTGGTTGAGACAAACTAAAGTTAGAGAACGGAAACGAAAAAATTCAGTAATTTTTATGTTTATAAATGGGCATAACTCTAGAACGGTAAAAGTGATGCCACCCAATTTCAAACTTGATCTGTATTATGAGGTAATAAGCATTGTGTATAAGTTTCATAACATTCGGTTGCGGCAAACTAAAGTTAGAGAATGGAAACGAAAAATTCAGCATTTTTTATGTTTATAAAGGGGCATAACTCAAGAACCGTAAAAGTGACGCTACCCAATTTCGAACTTGATCTGTATTATGTGGTAATAAGCATTGTATATAAGTTTCATAACATTTGGTGGAGGCAAACTAAAGTTAGAGAACAGAAACCAACTTTGGGACATACGGACGGACATATGGACGTACAGATGGACAAGGGTAAAACTTAATGCCCCCTCTGCTACGGCGGGGGCATAAAAAGAGATACCAAAATGAGTTAATTTGATTGGCTTATCCAGCATCATGAACCTAGGTATATTGAAACATTTTCATTGGCTATTCGTTAGATCATTGATGACTTTCAAAGGTCAAAACAATTTACATTTCTTCCATGGCAACGGAATTGTGTAATTTCTTCCATAATACACAATATAACACTCACACTTTTCACCTAAAATCTTTTTTTTGTCAAATTTCACTGCATTTAGAAGCTTACAAACAGTTTTAAAATGTCTGATGTAAAAGTTTGAAGCCGGAACAGGATATATGACTTCATACTGGTATGTGCAAAAGACTAGATCAACGAGTTGCAGACTTTTCTATTTAACATAAAAAGAATCTTTACCATAAGAGAAATAGGTTTAACAACTCATGAGAATTTGATATCGCTTGATATGGACTAGCTAAGTTTCACTCGTTATGAAACCTGTACGGGTAATTTAAACGTACACATGATATCATCTTAACATATATGCATGTCAACACAATAACATGGAAAATATGTAAAAATTTGTTGTATCAAAAGCTATGTATATACTGCGTGTACAATACTGTGAAAGTTTGTTCGTTGGGTACCAATTTTCGTGGTTTCCATGAATTTAATTGTCCAACGAAATATAACAACTGTTGTCCAAATCAAGACATGGAAAGATCCCAATGTAGGTTTGACTACATGGATACAGGCATATATATTATCTAGAGAATACATCGAATATCAGCAAACGCACTATGAACTATATACATTTGTATATACAACTTCAGATTTTATCCATTTAATCTTTAAAAACTTTTGTTTTCTTGTTTGAATTGTTTCACATTTTGTAATGCTCTTGTAAACAGCTTACTATATGGTATGGGTTTCGCTCACTGTTAAAGAATCTATGATAACCTACAGTTGGTTATGTACAAATCATTTGGTCTATGGTGGAAAGTGGTCTCATTGTTAATCAGACCACTTCTCCTTTCTTTTATATCACAAAATAATGTATGTACATTACAGGTACATGTACCATAAACTATGTCATATGTAAAATAAAGAAAATCAAAAGAATGTGTCTATGTATTGGTACACTAAAGATGCATGTACAAAATTGTACACAATGTACAAGATATTAAAGACGGGCTGTAATATTCTAAAGAATCCCCCCCAAAAAAACAATTAGACTCAAAAATGCAGCACCAGAAGGTCATATTGACCCTTAATACTCAAAAAGCCCCAAAAAATAACATTGTAAGAATAGATACATGCATGTACATGTAACAATGTCTCTACAGCAGGTGTGGTAAAAAAAACCAATAATGATCCCTTTTTATTAATTCCAATTTTGTATATATACATTGGTACATGTATATATGTAACAATAACGTAAAGAAAACTCACATCATTTTTTTCACTGTCGTCACTTCCTTGAGTAGACGTTGCACTACTATGGCCATTTTTTTCATCTTTCCCATGCTGAAATGGTCTCAAACTGTTGTGAATAGCTTCCATGGCTTGCTTGTTGTAGGCTTTCCGGCTTTTTCCTGGTGCAGATATAGGTTTAATAATGTTTGGTGACATTTCTCCTTCAGGTTTATTTGTTTTAAGATGATGACTTAAGGCATTTTTAATGTCATTGAGCATTTGCCGACCCTGATTATCAATGACAAGTGGTCGACGTCCACCACGTTCTGCATCATCATTATCATGTCCACTGGTAGAATTACGTATCATATCTCATCTCTTGTTCACAATATAATTAGCTTTCAATAGCTTATCAAATTTGATTTTTGCAGGACTTGAGTTTTGCAGCATGTTACTTTGTTATGTTTGTCCAATTTTCCATATTTATAAATCCAATGTATTTCTTTCATTTCTCATTATTTTGCTTTGAATAAAGGTTTTCACATAATTTGCACTTGGTTACTAAGTATTATCCAACAAAACCATGGACATGGTGAAAGATACATGTACACATATACTCCAAATATTATATTTTCAACTTTTAAAGAACCTGTAAGTAAAGTTCAAATGAAAAATATTGAAAAATAACTTAACAAGAGGCTCCCATGAGCCTGAATTGCTTACAACCTGTTAAAAAGGAAATGACAGGCAAATACTTTAAAATTCTTGTAGACTTGCTGATCATTTCTGCTGTTAATAGTTTCTACCTATTCATTATATTTTTGAAATATTGTCGATTCATTATAACTCATTGGGTACCAATTTTCGTGAATCTAGTGAGTAAAGTTAAACCATGAATATAAATGTTCAATAATCCATGAAATCAAATACATGTATCCAAGAATATACAATTTTTCCTCCATCCAGGAAAATTGGTACTCATGAAAATAAATTAATCCACAGTAAACATTGTAAAAGGCAAATTTCGAAATTATCAAAAAAAATCTTCATTTAAGGGCATAACTCCTATAAGGAGTCTTATCACTATTTTGTGTATTTTTCCTTTGATCTTTTTTTGTGATAATTTTTCATACCACGCTTCTCGCTCGAGATAGAAAATTATCGTCAAAAACTAAGGGGTGCACATGACGTTGTCAATGTAAATATCAACGATGTCAAAGGCAAAATAGCAATAAACAGATTATCAATTGTCTTTCAAACTCAAGGATGTTTCTCGGCCACATCTCATCTTAGGGCTGTTGCCTTTCGATAAGATTGTAGCTGAGAAACACCCTCTCATTTGAAAAACCATCGATAATCTATAAATCAAATGGTTTGGACATATTGACATTTTTGTAGATCTTGTGTTGCTGATCATTTTTGCTATTTACAGTTTCTACCTACATGTATCTATTATAGATTTCAAGATAATAGGCAAAAACTTTTTAAAAGGATCGTCTGAATTCGTAGTTTCAAGGCAATGACTCCTACAAAGAGTCATCCAATGGGTTACCACATTATGCATTTTTATAGATCTTGAATTACTGTTGTAAGATCATTTTTGTTGTTCACAGTTTCAACCCACCTATTGTAGTTGTGGAAATCGGAAGGAGGTTGTTCTTACCATTTTGAGTATTTCTGCCGATTTTCTCTAACTATCGAGGATTTCCAAATATTAGACAATAAATGCATCCCTTATGTTGTATTTTAAGCATGGCAGCAATGTTGATTTATTGGCAGGAACAAAAAACACAAACAGGATCATTCAGTTAAAGTTTTGTAGGAATTGGTCAAGTGGTTTAAGGAGAAGATTTTTGTAAAAGTTTACGACAAAAGATGGACAACAAAGACAATGAACACCAAAATGAGGTACATGCAGTAAGCCAGGTGAGCTAAAAGTCATGCATATTCTGCCTGAAATTCAGTTGCTCCAATGCAAGAAATTAAAATACAATGTAAAGAAAAATGTAGTAAATTGAAAGATGTACAATGTACTTTATATTTATATTGTACCAAGAAAGCAGTTATCATGGTAATAGTATGATTATACATGAATATGATGTAACAAAGACATCAAATACCTAAATCTTAATTGAAACAAGCATTCTGAGAGTATTGCATGGCAATACATAGTCCCCTACCGGGTAAAAATTCATTATACTGGAACAAAATGCTAACTGTTCTATAACTTGTCATGGTGTAAACAAAAAGTATATATCATGTCAATATCTTCAAGCATGACTAAAAACAGTGTGGAAAACTGATTATATGAGTGAATTGTTCAAGTCCAAGGACCATAACTCTGCACAAAATCATTAAACCGAAACAAAAATTTGAACTTGATCTGTAACTTGTCATGATAAAACTATATACCAATTATCAATCAATATCTTATAAGCATGATGAAAAAAAAACATTAAATATGATTAATAGTTCTCTAAAATTAGATATGATGTAATACAGTGTATATCTATTTTCAAATTATAATCAAATATAATTAATAGTTCCAAATATTTTTTCTTTCATTTGTCACAAACTAATATAGATTTGTAACTTATCTATAAAATGTCAACAACTTTTATCTACACAATGTAATGTATTGAAATATATACATTAATATATATTATCTAATTAAAGGATTTCTCTTCATAATTTTTTTATATATATATATAGCATTCAGAAAATTAGTTTATATTAAATAACAAACAAACCTGCCAAAAAATTCTTCAAATAATTTAACAAATAAAATTGAGAATGGAAATGGGGAATGTGTCAAAGAGACAACAACCCGACCATAGAGCAGACAACAGCTGAAGGCCACCAATGGGTCTTCAATGCAGCGAGAAACCACCGCACCCGGAGGCGTCCTTCAGCTGGCCCCTAAACAAATATGTATACTAGTTCAGTGATAATGGACGTCATACTAAACTCCAAATTATACACAAGAAACTAAAATTAATAAAATGCTTCGCTGGGGCGCAGCTTGATACGACCGCAGAGGTCGAACCCTGAACAGTTGGGGCAAGTATGGACACAACATTCAAGCTTGATACAGCTCTGAATTTGGATTGTTATTAAATATTTGAAACAACATAGGTTTCTGACACAGAAAGAATGTGGTCTAAGAACTTGAATTTTTTTAATTTACCTATTATGGTCCAATGTCTAAAATCAAAATACATGGTTAGATTCAGCATATCAAAGAACCCCATATATTCAATTTTTGTTAAAATCAAACAAAGTTTAATTTTGGACCCCAACTTGGACAAACTTGAAAACTGGGCCCATAATCAAAAATCCAAACACATGTTTAGATTCAGCATATCAAAGAACCCCAAGAATTCAATTTTTCTAAAATCAAACTAAGTTTAATTTTGGACCCTTTGGACCTTAATGTAGACCAATTTAAAAAACGGGACTTAAAATTAAAAATCTAAATACACGGTTAGATTTGGAATATCAAAGAACCCCAATAATTCAATTTTTGATGAAATCAAACAAAGTTTAATTTTGGACCCTTTTGACCTCAATATGAACCAATTTGATAGCGGGGCCCAAAAATCAAAAATCTAAATACATGGTTAGATTCAGCATATCAAAGAACCCCATATATTCAATTTTTGTTGAAATAAAAAAAAGTTTAATTTTGGACCCCAACTTGGACCAACTTGAAAACTGGGCCCATAATCAATAATCTAAACACATGTTTAGATTCAGCATATCAAAGAAACCCAAGAATTCAATTTTTGTTAAAATCAAACTAAGTTTAATTTTGGACCCTTTGGACCTCAATGAAGACCAATTTAAAAAACGGGACCCAAATTAAACATCTAAAAACACGGTTAGATTTGGAATATCAAAGAACCCCAATAATTCAATTTTTGATGAAATCAAACAAAGTTTAATTTTGGACCCTTTTGACCTCAATATGAACCAATTTGATAGCGGGGCCTACAAATAAAAAATCTAAATACATGGTTAGATTCAGCATATCAAAGAACCTCATATATTCAATTTTTGTTGAAATCAAACAAAGTTTAATTTTGGACCCCAATTTGGACCAACTTGAAAACTGGACCAAAAATCAAAAATCTAAACACATGTTTAGATTCAGCATATCAAAGAACCCCAAGAATTCAATTTTTGCTAAAATCAAACAAAGTTTAATTTTGGACCCTTTGGACCTTAATGTAGACTATTTTGAAAACTGGACCCAAAATTAAAAATCTAAATACACTGTTAGATTCGGCATAACAAATAAATAAATATGATCAAAGATTTAACAAATCTAATGCGCCATACTGTGCAATTAAAGATTACTTCTTGAAATTTTTCAATATTTGAAATTTGAAAAAAAAATAATATTTGAAGAATAATTCTTTTTAATTTCTGAAATCTGAAATGAGAAAAAATTGACCCCCCACAATTTCTTTTTATCCCCCCCCCCTTTTTTTCCCCAAAAAAATTCTTTCCCTCAAGATATGGTGATAATCTCAATTCAAATTTCCAATGGAGTTGGCAACCATAATTACCCATTTAAATTTACCATAGTGCTAACTTAATCTATTTTATAATAGAATTAAAAATATAGTGTCAAATCTTTCATATGGATTTTTTTGTAAAAAAAAATGATGCTACATTTGCAGATATTTTTTCTGGTCTTCTGTTATAAATATGCATTTCTTTAAACATAATTCAAAAGCAGTGTAAGGGAAGTAACCAAAACGTTGTATTTGGATTACCTCCCTTACACTGTTTTAAATTATCTTTATTGTTTAGTAACCATTACTTTATACATAATTTAAAAGCAGTGTAAGGGAGATAATTTCAATGATGTATTTGATTTATCTCCCTTACACTGCTTTAAATTATGTTTTGTACTAAAGTATTTGTCCATTAACCAGGACAACCTTGTTTTTCCCCCTTTTTTGCCCCTAATTCCTAAACGGATTGAGCCATAACCCCCCAAAGCAAATCCTAACCATCCCTTTGTGGTATGGAAACTTGTAGTATAATTTCAGAGAGATCCATACAACGTTCCACAGTTATTGTCTGGAAACTAGAAAATGCTTATTTTTGGCCCCTTTTTGGCCCCTAATTCCTTAACTGTTGGTACCATAACCCCAAAATCAATCCCAACCTTCCTTTTGTGGTATTTAACCTTATGGTAAAATTTCAAAAAGATCCATTCACTTAAACTAAAGTTAGAGTGCGAAAACCAATGTGTCTTCGGACGACGACGCCGGACAACGACAAGGACGACGACGCCGGACGACGACGACGCCAACGTCATACCAATATACAACCACAAAATTTTTTTGCGGCCGTATAAAAATGATACAAGACTTACAATGGCCAGAGGCTCCTGACTTGGGACAGGCGCAAAAATGCGGCGGGGTTAAACATGTTTTTTGAGATCTCAACCCTCCCCCTATACCTCTAGCCAAAGTAGAAAAAACAAACGCACAACAGTACGCACAGTAAAACTCAGTTTAAGAGAAGTCCAAGTCGGATGTCAGAATAGGAAACAAAAGAAAATAAACAAAATGACAATTATACATAAATAACAACAGACTACTAGCAGTTACTGACATGCCAGCTCCAGACCTC